CAGGGGGATCACTTGAGCCCAGGAGTTTGAGGTTGCTGTGAGCTAGGCTGACGCCACGGCACTCTACTCACGGCAACAGAGTGAGAGACTCTGTCTCAAAAGAAAAAAGAAAAAAAAAGGAAAACTCCCTAGTAAGGGGAAGAGTCTATAACCACTGCGCTTACACTGCCTCTTTCCTTCCTCATCCCCATTTAAGAAAGGTCAGGATGTCAGAGTGCTGTAAAAGCATTATTATATCTAGGAGATAAAGAGACGGAATAAGGCAAAAATGTCTATGAAATTCCTGAATTCAGACTTACTTCTCAAGGTGCATACCCAAGTATAAAACTCACCTTGATTCCATTTGAATACCCTTTTAAGTCTAATCTAACTAAGGAGGCACAGATGGGTTCAGATGTATTGTATGTCATTGATTCTAAGATGAACATTTTTTCACATTTTAACGTCTCATAAATTGAGATGTATCTTACCATCAATTAATAGCACCATAGGGCTGCATCATAAAATTTAATTGGCTACTTTTTTTCCTTTCTTGCAACTGATGGTGTTTCTGATTCTGTGGAATACAGGGTAGGTATATTCGTGGGTATAAGGGCTTGAAAGAGTTCCTGCCTTATAACCTTAGTTTTCCCAGTGAGGTAGACTGTGGGCCATCTGCTAGAATGGAGGTGAATGAATGCTGAAACGTTTGAGGAAGGGGAGTGTGATGCTTTACTAATCTCTTCCCTATACCTCTCTTATCCTCTATCAATTTCCAAGTCTTAGGGCTTTGACTTCCTTAAGAATCTGCACTAGTGTGTTTACTGCGGTATTCCCTGTACTTAGAACAGTGCCTGCCACGTGTTAAATGATCACTAACTATTTGCATTAATGATGAATGAATGTACGAATGAAGAAAGTTTGGAAGAGCAGTTGAGGGAGGTGGAAGAGGGAGTTACCCAGAAACATGAGTAAGGATCACCCAGGAGACACTTGCCCTGGTTGAGGTTCAAGACTGTGTACCGGCTGCACTGTTGGGTGATTCGTCTTCAGTTCTTGCATTTCGTATGTGGGAGTGAGAAATCTAATGGCCAAAGTGATACAAATTTGGGGATTTGCAGGGTGAGCTTGATAGGGAGGCAAAAGGCTGGAGATGAGAAAGGTAAGAAAAGAATTGAGAAAGATAAGAAAAGAATTCATCTAATGTTGATGAATTGAGAAAGATAAGAAATAATTCATCTAATGTTGATGAATTGAGAAAGATAAGAAAAGAATTCATCTAATGTTGCTGGAACACATCTGTACTTGTTGACCTAGAATATATACTGTTTTGTTTTTATTGTTGTAAAATTACTTCCAGTTTGTTATTGGATCAGTTCAAACCTTCCAACTCTGTTCTCTTTCTATATTTTTACTAGAATACATTTAGTAACTACTATATAATGAATTGATTTTAATAACATTTCTTTCAAAAGAAAATAATGTGTGGATGAAGAAATTCTAGAAATAGAATTTCTATAAGAAAGAAATTTTATGTTCATAAAATAAGCAATATTTATATTTACACTATATTCATAAAAAAGCAATATTTTTTTTCTACCTTTCAAGTCGCATGCAGATAACCATACTATCTTAGTAACAAACTATAAACAGTGAACCTATGTGGGTAAAGTTTAATGTTGTAATGAGAGAAAATGTAACTGAGTTAACCTGGTGCTAATTTAAAGATGAACATTACTGTTACTATCTATAATTAGGCACATTTGATAAGCTATTTGTAAAAGTAGCTTTAATTAATGTAATGAATAATTTACATTGTTATTATTGAATAATTCTACCCTCACATCAGCTAAAGATGTAACTGTACATTTCTCTATAACTGAGTTCAGACTAGTTCACAATCCTTGTTTTGAATAAAGTGGAAACACTTGAATTTGTCAATTCAAATTTACTTAGTCGATACTAGATTAGGGCTAGTTCTTTGTGTTAAAGATTCAGTCCCAATGAAGGTTCTCCCCTCTTCGTGCCTCCTCCTTCTCCCCATGTATAATATAGATTCCCTGAAGAGATTTGTCATCTTGGCACCAGGAAGGGGGACATTTAGACTTTCAGTCCTGGTATTATTCACACTCATTTCTGGACTCCAGCTCAACTAGGCAGCTGCAGTGAGGTACCTCAAAAGCACTTCTACCTTGATTCTGGGGGTCGTTCATGCCACGTATGTTCTGGAACAGAGCTACTCAAACTGTGGTCTGTGGAGCAGCAGCATCAGCCTTCCACCTAGCCTGTGAGAGTGTTGGAAATGCACATTCTCAGGACCTACCCCAGAATGGCTAGGAGCGAATCAGAATGGCTAGGAGCAGTGCCCAGGAATCTGCATTTGAACAAGCTCTCCTAGGCTAGGCGCCATGGCTCACCCCTGTAATCCTAGCACTTAGGGAGGCTGAGGCAGGAGGATCGCTTGAGCCCAGGAGTTGGAGACCAGCTTGAGCAACATAGTGAGACCCCATTTCTACAAAAATATAGAAAAACTCAGCCGAGTGTGGTGGCATGCATCTGTAGTCCCAGGTACTCGGGAGGCTGAAGTGAGAGGATCACTCAAGCCCAGGAGTTTGAGGTTGCAGTGAGCTATGATGACACCACTGCACTCTAGCCCTGCACTCTAGCCCGGCAACAGAGAGAGAACCTGTCTCAAAAACAAACAGCTCTCCTGATGGTTCTGATGTGCCCTAAAGTTTGAGAAGCTTAGTCGTAGAAGATTTCCTAACATCAGCTGAGCTATCATGACAAAATTATACTTTTAATGAGTGGCAATTATGGTTGCAGGTAAACAATATGTTCATTGGGCATAATGAGGTATGGTCTTGGTGGGAGTAGAGTGGCTGTAGTAGAAAAGGAGGAGATTTCGGTGGCCACAGGGTGTGATGAAAGCAGAAGGTACCTGGGGTCATGGAATTGAGAGGGAAAGAGAGCTGAGAATGGACTGAAGGACGAGCATGTTGCGGATGCTTGCCATTATAGGGGTTACTACCTTCTTTTGGGCTGAGTCTAAGTTTGGTTATCTTAAAAACAAGCAAAGAGGAGTCAATTTTAAAACATGTAGAGATTTAAGTAATTTCTTCAGCCACAACAATATGAAACAACTTCCAGATATTCCCCATACTAGTATGAGATTTCTTGTTTGTTCAATTGTCTGGGTGGATCTGGGTCTTCTTCTTCATCTTCCAAACACATAGCCAAACACCCTTTTTTGGTGGATCATCACAGATTTATTTGAATGGGGTGGAGGTGGTGTTATCTGACCTCTTTTATTTCCTCCCTTGAGCAGCAATGATTGACAGCATTGAGATCAAGTCATAAACTCACCATTTCCTTTGGGGTAGCTCAGTGGGTAGATGCTTCTTTTAGAGGCTCTTGGTGGGAGTGTTAAACAGCAAGCTGGTCCAATTTTGGAAAGGAACGTTTTTTATAGAAACTTTAAAGCATTACATGTTCTGTTCTTGCAATGTGCAAAGAGGTCCTTTTGGAAAAGGTCAACCACAGATCTTAGTGTGATTTAGGAACAATGGAACAACAATCTCGTAAGAGACGGGAAAAATTAAATAGATTACTACAGTAAGAGACGGTCCTCATTGTGTTTGTTATGCTCCTACACATCTTGCTAGACGTGCCAAAAATATAAGGCCTTGACCCCTCTTTATGTGGGCCATTTTCCAGGGTTGTGGCAAGAAACCTTGAGGAATTGGTTAATGTTTCCTTCCAGGACCAAAATCAGGTTTAGCAGATTTGCTTACTGCTTGCTTTAGAAGTGGTCAATCACCTAAGTTCAGTGTTCCTTTCTTGTAACATAATCTAGTATGAATGCAAGTGTCTCTGGGTCGTGTGCACTGCCCCTGCAGGCAATGTGGGGCCAAGGAGAACCAACACAAATATTTGGTGATCATGCTGCTTGCTGTGTTGTGAGTAACATAAATCTTCTGTCTTTGACCCAGGAATCTCATGTCTTCTCCTAACATCTGTGAAACATTAAGAGATTAATATATTAGCTTGTATGTAAGGTAAAATCAAATTACAGATCTGATAATTGTATGGTAAGAATTAGAGAGTTTTAGTCCTCTTAAGAGGAATTTGTTCAAGGATTTCCTGGTGTAGGATATTAGGAAGGTAGCAAAGACTAGAGTAGGTAGTAGGGTATAGGATCAGGATATTGAGCAGTAAATAAAAGTATTTGAAGGGTGTTTCATGTCATAGGTGGCTATACACATACACATACACTTATTATGGGGACAGTACTCCAAATTGGTTTGGAAAAGGAAAGGACAATGCTTCTTTTCTAATAACTGTTAACCTCACCTTTAGGTGAGTGTAAGTTGTTCTAAGGGGTAATAAATAGTGGCACAGTAATATCCATAATCTGCTTATATGGCCCAGACAATCAGATGGAATACTTTACTGCCAAGGTGGATGAAGGGTGTTTCATTTAGGGGGCAATGACATTTGCTACTTATTGAGCTTTTTTTTCCCCTTCTCAATGGATCTTCAGGCCAAAGTCTTTAATAGTCGCTTTTCCATATTGCTAGAGGATGTGAAAGCTGAGGTAAAAAATGTTCAAGTGAAAGAAGAGTAAGTTGGTAGGACAGGGCTGTGGGAGGCGGCTGGTGAAAGAGACAGCCCTAAGTAGAGGATTGTGCAGATATCATATATGTTATTGCCCTCATCACGCTGTTTTCTCCTTGATTTGTTGGCTGACTCATCGAACATAAGGAAGGTAGAATACACGTTCCACAGCCATGCGAATTGCAACTTTTCAGAAAGGTGAGCCACAGAACAATTTTATTCTAAACTGATGTCGTTGGATTCTAGAGTCTTCTGTCATCACATTCTGTGTTATTGCCATGTTAATTCCACATGCAGCTCAAGCATTCAGTCTTCTGACCTGTTCCACCTACACAGGGCATTTTACAGCTTAAGGATGATGGCCTAGAAGGGAAGGGAGAGACTTAATTTGGATTAAGTTCAATATGGGAAAATGCTTAAGGTAAGCCTTTAAAAAAATACCTCATCACGTGTTTCACATGCTAAAAGAACACTGAAAACATACATAAGCCAAGCTTTAGCACTTCCTTTAGTTTCCCACAATAACTGGGTATCTGGAAAGTCTGGACCCTTCGCTGAAACGTTCTCCCCAGAGAGGTTAGTAGTTAATGTTTTAAAATGCAATTAGTCAATAGGCTATAAGTTTATTCTACTTAACTCCTTTAAATACAGTAGTTTAATAGTCTCGAACACATATTGTAACTTATTATCTTTAAAACCAGAAGTTCTATCCTTTCCTTCAGAAATCCTTTAGTTCTGGTGTCCATGCATGTATTTCCCTTGATCTTTCTTTCTACCTGTGTCCCTGATTCTTTCAAATTCTCTTCCCAAGGTTTAGCAGAGTGGGTAGGTACTGTGTAGGTAGAGATGATCTTTTAGACTCATGCATTCTTTTGGGTGTGGCCATCAACTTCGGCTACCCTGTTTTTCTTGTTCCCTGTTGTTTCCATATTGGTAAGGTGGCTATTATTCTTCAGTAGGCTTGGCAGTTCTCCACCCTGCTTCCTATTTTTTTTTTCCTCATTTGGCCGTTTTTTCACTCTAGCTGCTGCAAACAGGACCAGAACTTCCAACCATATGAAAATCAAGTCACTTCAGACCTCTGGCATCATGGAGCCTCTTCTGTCTCACAATCAAGTAGATATCTTGGTCGTAAAACATCTCACCCCTCTGTAACACATAAAGCCAGTTTACCCAGAGGAAGAAAAAGGCTGTGGCTTCCATCAAGTTCATCTTTTTCAGAAAGAAGATGTTTTTTATTCTTTAGAGTTCAAAAAAGCAATTCTTCTATTTACCGGCAACAAAGTAGAGCAAACTTTGATTCTCAAGAAGACCTAAGCTGTGTTGACGTAAAATCTTCCTCAGACCATTTTGGTGTATTTAGATCCCAAAGACGTTTCTCTTCCCATAAACTAAGTGTCGTTTCCTGTTACAAGAGCACCATTTGTTTTGATCCTCAATCGAATAGTCAAAACATGTTTAACGTGAATGAAATTGAACTTTTTTGTAGAAACCAAAGCAATACTGATGCTGAAAAACATATAAGCCTCTCTGCTCCCAGATATACCACTGAACATTTTAAGAATTTTGAAACAAGAGCTGCTTCTTCAGCCCATGTCCAGAACACTGTTGATGGAATTTCCAATCAACAAAACATAGCATCCTTCTTTCCTCTTGCAACTGTTGTTGCCTCTCCCCATCAACAAAATGGAATTGCCACTGATGTTCAACAAAGAGGCCAAATAAGTAAAGATTTGAAAGATTCCCTTCATTGTGGTTCTCAAAATCACAGCACAAGGTATTCTCCAGCTATGATTCAACAGCATCCCTGTCAACATGTAACTTCTCCTATCCTCCATCATGCTGGATTTTCTTCATCTCCCAAAAATGCTGGTAGCTTTAGCCCACCTCAAAATGAAGTTACCTTGGGCTTGTTTGAAGAAGAAAACTCATCTCAAAATGAAGGCATATCTTCACCTGTTGAAATTCCTTTAATAAGGTCATCTCAGACTTTACCACTCTTGTAGAAGGGCAGCTCAAATCAGACATTTTCCCATGAGTCACCTCCATAGTCTGTAGAAATCACTGCTCACTTCTCACACAACTCCCCTGTCCTCACTAAGCTTCACTGCATTTTCTGAAAAAGATTCCTATATTACCATATAAATTTAACTTTAATTGTTGTACTTTCGAAAGTTAGTTTATTGACATTTTTAGAATATGGAAATGAAAGATGATTTCATCTGTTTCAAGATTTTTTTTCAGATTTATGGCTTGAAGATTGGCTAGTTCCAAATTTTTGAGCAACTATTGTAATACTTCTGTGGTCTGAAAATAACATCAAGATGTATAGGTCTTCTAAATGTAATACATTCTCTGAGAGTTTAGTGCCTTCTTTTACCTTAATCATTAGAGATAGTATTCCTACATAATCTGTAGAGTTATATTCATGAATGCACACATTTTCATTTATATCAGCCTTGCTACTATATTGCTGGATCATATGGCAATTCTATTTTTAATTTTTTGAGGAACCACCATATTGTCTTTCATAGTGGCTGCACCATTTTACATTCCCACCAAGAGTGCACAAGGATTTCAATTCCCCTACTACCTTGCCAACATTTGTTATTTTGTTTTGTTTTGTTATAGTAACCATCCTATTGGGTATAAGGTGGTATCTCATTATGGTTTTGATTTGCATATCTCTAATGATCAGTGATGTTGAGGATATTTTCATGTGATTGTCCTTCATTGTGTATCTTCTTTGGAGAAATGTTTATTCAGGTCCTTTGCCCAATTTTAAATCAGGTTGTTTATTTTTTTGTTGTTGAGTTGTGGGTATTCTTTATACATTCTGAATATTAACCCTTATCAGAGATATGATTTGAAAATATTTTCTCCCAATGTGTGAGTTGCTTTTTCACTCTGGTGATTGTGTCATTTGATGTACAGAAATTTTAGATTTTAATATAGTCTAATTTATCTATTTTTTTTAATTGCCTGTGCTTTTGGTCCCGTATCTAAGAAATCATTGCCAATCCAGTGTCATGAAGCTTTGCCCTATGTTTTCTTCTGAGAGTTTTATAGTTTTAGCTTTTACATTTAGGTCTTTGATGCATTTTGAATTAATTTTTGTGTATGGTGTTAAGTAAGAGTCCAGCATCATTCTTTTGCACGTGGTTATCCATTTTCCCAATACCATTTGTTGAAGAGACTGTCCTTTCTCCACTGAGTGGTCTTGGAACCCTTGTCAAAAACCATTTGACCATATATGTGTGAGTTTACTTCTGGGCTCACTGTTCTGTTCTATTGGTCTATACATCTGTCTTTATGTCAGTACCACACTGTTTTGATTACTATAGCTTTGTAGTGAGTTTGAAGTCAGGAAGTGTGAGACCTCCAACTCTGCATTTCTTTTTCAAGATTGTTTTGGCTATTTGGAGTCACTTAGGATTCCAAATTAATTTTAGGATAGACTTTTCTATTTCTAAAAAAA